AGTTGGAATTGGCGATTAAACGGTTAAAATAATTTGCGGAAGTCGCTCTGTTTTCAATTGTGAAAAAATATAATTTCGTCAATGAAACTTCGCAATTGAAAATAGATCAATTCTCAACTATTAAAGCGTCAACATTTATCTTCATTCACTCAGACAATTTTGTTTTAGTTCTGCCACTATTCGTTAACATAAAGGTAGACATTAAAAATATTTTTTAATTCAATATTTCATCAATTTAATTGATCCGTGAAATAAAAATAAATTTTGTAATTAATATTATTTGATAAAAATAATTTCTTCTCGCTGTTATATATAATATATATAGAATTCATATTGAATCACACGCACAAAATTGAAGAGGATCGATAATGAACGGCGAATAAAAAAACGATAACGAGATAATACTATTAATGGAGGCTCATCGTGGCACTCCTAATGTTCCGTACACATAGATATACATATGTTCAATATATGTATAAATTGGGTGTTTGATTCGCATTTATTATTTTATATCTACAACTAGCGGGCGATATATATACAGGGGTTAAAGGGGGAAGTGAGAGTTAACATTTTCTTCGCAGCCACTATAAATGAGACTGAGAATAATTTATTCAATGTAGATGTCCTCTATCGGGAAAGCAGTCTCGATGAATTTCGTGTAGAACCGATGAAAAGCACGTCTAAAAGAAGAGAATCTCGAGTTATCATCCACATAATCTATGAACAATGAATTATTCGTGCTTCTAGAATTTTTTTAGAAATTTAAAAAAAGATATAATAATAAAGATATAATAGATTAAAAATATTTAATTTTATTTAAATTTATTTAAATAAATTATGAATTTATAATTTAAAAAATTTATTTAAATTTTTTAAATATATTACTAACTTTTAATTACAATACAATATTCGAATATAATAATAAAATGATAATATATGTATATAATATTGCAATAATATAATATTGATTTTAAAAATTTACCATAAAATAATCGGAAATTTAACGTTAATGATTTTGCGCAAAGTGACATAAAGATATATCAAATTTTATCGATGATAATGAAAAAGTTTTTGGAGGAAAGCACTCACCCGACAGCTTCGGCAACGGGTCTCGTGGATTCTTGACCAATGAACACGTGGCAAGCGAACCTCTGCAGAGTGGGGTGTTTCGTGATGAAGCCGAGGTAGCGATGATCGCGAGGATGAAACGCACAAAACGATACATTCTTCAGCGAGTAGAAATAATCGTGACAAGGACCCTGATTTTTCTAAAAATATATTAACAATTAAAAACTTGTCGACTTTCTCATTTTTCTTTCAGTATTTCTTCTTTCATTTTCATCTCTTAACGCGTATTAAATTTTTTAAAAATTAATTAAATAACTAATTGTATATATATATTATATATACACACACACACATATATATATATATGTATAAAATTAGTCATGATTAAATAACGTTTTGCGCATAAAATATGCTTTATACATAATTTTCTTATAAATTTTTTATTAAAAAAATGTGACAAGTTTTTTTTTAATGGAATTTATATCGAAAGCTTATTGTTACAGTTGAAAGCTCTTGCTAAAATTAAGAAAAAATTAATTAAATAATATATTGCACGTGAATAAACTTCTATCGATTGCAAAGAGATACTTACTCGCGATTTGCTTCTATCGACCATTCGAAGACCCTGATCGGATACTTCCAAGATGCAACTCTGTGAGACAGGTGGATCCTGCAAGGAGTTACGAAGGATTCTCCGTACCGCCTGACAAACCACTCCCGTACCCTTATGTGCCAAAGTTTCCACCGATCCTAAGTAACCTAGGAGATATCTTTCTCTCTTCACTTTAGGCGCGGTGGGATCAAAATCACTGTAGTCCATGTCGACCGCGTAAGCTGACGGAAAAATACCTTGCCGGCCTGTCCTTAGATTCACACCTAATCGCGAAGAACAGAAGGATAGAATCTGTCGATACTAATTCTAATATAGCGTTAATTTCATATATTTCTCTATTTTATTTTATTTTCACTTACTTTAACATATTTAAAAAATTAACAGCTACATAAAATAAAAATTCAGAACATAAATATATTTATAAAATAGCTGAAAAATGAAGACTTCTTTTTTTAAATATCTATGTTTTCTAGACATTTATTGCTTGAGAATAGTTATCTTTAATGTATAATATTGAATAATTAGTAATTAGTAATATTATATTATGAAATAAATCCTTACATATGTATACACGTAAAATATAATTAGATTGTCACTATTAAAAATCGGAAGAAATCGTCTCAATTTTTTTAAATAAGAAAAGGAAGTATATACCGATTATTGCTGAGTCAAGCTGAGTCAAGTTCGACGTCTTGTGAAATAAATATGTTTACGCACCTTCGCACCAGAGGTCATCAGCCTCTTTTTGCACATATATGGGGTCTCCAATTTCAAGATCAATTTCGTCGTGGTGCCGCGATATGAATTTGTGCAGACCTCGATGCGTTGCCTCGAGTAATTCCAGTTGGGTAAACGGTACGCCTCCGCTTCCTTTGGAATGAAAAAGCGAGCTTGATTCTTCTTCGAGAGTTACTCCGATTAGAAAATTATGACATGAACAACAATTCCTGACTTTCATAACTTTTCTGAACTCACAATAGAATCATCAGATTCGTGTAGGCTCGCAAAAAATTATGACGCAGCATAAAATATCATGAGTACAACGATATACATACATCTTCTGTCCAATATTTAAATAATTTTATTTCTCATCAGAATAAAGTTTAGATCTAACAGCTGAATTATTTAACAAAAATTAATTTGAATTTCAGAATTCGTCATTTAATCAAAAAATTTACATCAGCTCTATAAACATCAGCAATTATTAGTAGATTTTTATTTGAAATTTTATTATTATGTACACAATGAAAAAATAAGTTATATATATATATACTACGTAAATTTTAGGAATTGATACAATACATTAAAAAAAAGCAAAATTTTAACGAGAAAAAATTTTCGAGAGTATATGTAGAATGTTATATCTCTAAATAATAAATCAACAATTTTAAAAATATTAATTTTTATAATTTATGAATCAATAAATTTTTACATATTATATAGAACATCCATTTTCTTTTAATTAGCTAATTTTCTTTGAAATTATTGATAATATAAAAAAAATGTTTTCGATGAAAATGGAACAATGGAAAATGGAATGTATTCAGATTCCTTCATTCTTTTTCTAAGTGAAGGGGCTAGAAAGATATTGAAATCATCCACTTTTTAAAAATAAAATGATGTAACTTTTTTGCATAACATTTCTTTCAATAATAATAATTATATTAGGACTCTTGAATTTTAAACAATACAAAAAGATAAATAGTAAGCTAATGAGAGTTAGCAACGATAAACGGCGCAATTTAATGAATAATCAATAATCAAATATTAGATTGATGTCTTCTTAATTTTCAAAATAAAGAAAACATCAATCTAATATCTGATTATTGATTGTTCACTAAATAATTGCGCCATTTATCGTTGCTGATTCTCATTAGCTTATTAAATTTATCTTTTTATATTGATTTGTTTCAATTATTCTGCATATAAAAAAATACTAAAATAGAGATATATCAGAAAATTAATAGTTTACGAGATATTTTACGAGATATTTACAAATCTAACAATTATAATTGTAATATAATTTCTTTAATTTAGTAATTACAATATTAATACTTTGTCTAAGAAATGTGTATTCTGTGTCGTAACTACGAATCAATTAATTTAAATTGACATAAAGATGAAAATACAATTTCTCGAGGAGAATCGTAATTACCTGGGGTGCTGCTAGGCGACACTGAGTCTGTATTCTGCAGGGTATTACATGGTATGGGCGACACACTCTTGGGGCCATTGTCAGGAGAATGAGCGGTAGAATGACCGCTGTCTGTGGCCATCCTTTCGCTGTCGGGCGAGCTGTCCTCGTGACGGAGTCTGGGATGACATTTCCTTAAGACAAGGTGAGGCCGGGTCGATGTTGAGCCAGTGGCGGCACTCAACTCGTCTGCCAGCGAAGACGACGTCTGTATGGACGTCTGACATATGGGCACAGCTGAAACAGTAGGAGAATATCAACGTGCATTTTGCACGCAAAGGTGATATTCTTTTCCTTTCTCGAAAAATTTTGACACTATGTGAACATGTAAACGTTGACACATTTATGAAATAATATTTAGATAAAAAGTATCTCTCAATTTTCACGAAATAGAACGGTTTATTGAAATCGCAAATGAAAAATGTTACTCTATAACGTATACTTTTTGTAGAGTTGACATGATGCAAACAAACATCTGGATTTTTTCTCTGCAGTTGTGACAAGGTGAGCCAGTTTCTTGGTTTCATTTGTATATGCAAAATGCATGCGCGACCCGATAACAGATGCGACAGGTAAAAATGATACAGTTGTTATCATACCATTCATTATATATAAATGATTTCGTATCAAATCAAATTCTCATATCGCGAAAGTTATGGTTACTTCACTTTATTATAATTAAAGTTAGATCACACATTTAATATTAAAATTATGTGCATATAACTTTACATAAAATGTGAATATTTTGTAACATAATCCGTGCAAATCAAGATAAATTATGTAACATAATATCTAAAATTGTAAAATATTAATAGAGAGAGATTTCTAATAGCGGAATAAAGTTCTTAATGTATAATGAAAACATAAAATAAATATAATCTGCTCAATCTCTTTGATTTTTTTCAAATTTCGTTAATAATTTGACAATACATCGTTGAAGGATACTTATTAATAAATTCTTCATTATTATTGTTATCACCATTAGTAAATTATTATATGAATTGTTCTCTTTCACGTTTTGTATTTTTCTAAAAATTAGTAATTAAATTACAATAGTTGAGTCATCGAAATTGTCGAATGTAAGATCGAAATTTAATGCAAAGGAATTCTCGGTCAGATCTCTTGTTATCAATATCATTGAATAAGTTATGCATTCGAGCTTTCCTTACATTTTTTGCTTTTAGGAATTTCCGGCAATCTTCGACGTCTACGTTCGGTGCCACCACTTCCAGGTCGATTCGATGGCACGTGCTCCGGCGTAGGCCAAGAGCTCAAACTGGAACACGAATCCCCAACATCGCTGACGACACTATCTCGGCCTCCGTTACCAGACATAGTAGTACCACCCCCGCCCGGTCCTGGTCCGCCACCGCCTACCGATCGACCCCTGCTGCTCAGTCCACCGAACAAGCTAATGTCATCCAAGGTTAATTGTACAGTGAGCTAAACTATCATTTTCCATGCTGCCTATTTTAATTTTTTGGGAAAATATATAAAATAAAAGATAATTCTTATACTCTTCATTGAGGTGGTGATAAAAAATTTCTCATGCGTAACACGCTGGACCAAGAATTTTTATAACTAAATTAAGAAAAGAAGCAATAAAATATAAATGTGTTATTTGCATATAAAGTTTTATTGTGTTTCATATACTTAAAATTATTTTAATAATAAATTATTTTAATAATAAGTTAATTATAATTAACAGAGAGAGAAAGAGAGAGAGAGAG